CTAGGAAATTAATTTCCTACGAGAAAATATTTGCCTCGCAATATCACGATAAGTTCTTGATCTTTTTCATGTCGTGATATTTGAAAAATTTAACTCACTTATCCTCACTTGTCTTTTTCTTCGAGATTCAAATTGTTCTGAAATGCTGTTAAGTGCCAGGACAATTTGAGAAAATACAATATAAATATAATAAAATGTAATAAATTTGAAATTAGGCGATACTTGTATATATAGTAGTACATAGCAATTTTTTAATCAACTTTTATTTTTTTTTTTTTTTTTTTTGGTTTTCTAATTACAAACATAATTTATTTCCAAATTTTCAAGAACCAACCAGACGTTACAACATGATATAATTGCATGGAATAAAAAAGATTGATACAAATTGAATGTCACTTGTAAATGGACTTGATTGAGTTACGTTCGTGAAGATGTACTGCGTCACGTGTATCATAAATCAATGATCAGGTTGAACTTTCCATTCCGATTGCCAACACAACTGTACACATGTATATACATAGAAGAGGAACAGTGGAACGCGTTTGTGTGTCAAGAAAATCAACACACAGTAGACACAGCCAAAAAATGAGAACAGAGTTTTGGCAATCAGAAGTTATTTATTCTTGGAAAGAGTTCGTTGTTTTTCTGCGTGCGTGACCAATTGAGAATCCACAGGTAAACCTTTACGACGGCGGACCGCGTCTATATATTTCTTAGCTCTGTTCTCGCTATCTGCTTTGTCACCAAAGTGTAGGTACTCTTCGTCCGTGGAAGGTGTCCAATAAGGGTCTTGCTCGATAACCTGTTGTACAAACGAAACATGTATATTTATTGCCACAATATTGTATTTTTATATATATATATATACATATACGTGTGTGCGTGCGCGCGCGCGCGCGTGTGTGTGTGTTACAGCAAACTCGCCGCGCTACACCGCAGTACAATTAATTATTAATAATCATGTTTGAAAAACTTTCATCAATTCTCAATGTATACTAACAACTGTTAGAGATGTTACTAGGAATTTAGAACGTTGTTTAACAATATAGCAATTTGTTTCTTGACGAAACATATTCACTCTGCTATTTAATACAGTATATCTCACCGACGACAACAAAATTTGCCCGATAATTGATGCGATGTGGTAACATTATTATGTTACAGAATGTAAATAAAATTTGTAAATTTTGAAATTACTTGCATGTATGACGTGCGTATCGTTATACTCGTATGGTTTGTGAAATAGGCGAAAGAACAGTATAATAAATAAATACGTAATTTACGAGACAGGTTACTTTGATTTGATTCTATTCCGATAATCGATAGCTGGTTAACCACAATTAGGACTACAATCTATGGTTGGAAAGGATCAGACTGATTTCCATCATCGATTGCAAGTACGTGCAATATGTGCGTCGTATAGTTTACGACGACGACGAGGGAAAGCGGGAAAAACTATCATCGAGGCGTTTGTTTGCTTACGTGTTTTATATGTTTTATATGGACAGCAATTTGTAACAACTTACCTCCCAATGGCTGAAAATCAATTGAGGACTAGCCAGGCCGGATGTCTGAGTTCGTAGTTCGCTGGCAAGTTGAAAACTCTCTGGCACGGGTAGAGTGGCAAGCACGCGAAATTGACCGCCGAATCCAAGAGCGCTCTCCGCGGAAACCACACGGCCTTGTCTTTTACCGAATACCGCGTATAATTTCCCTGAAAAGAAATGAAATCTGTATGAAAACCAATGAAGGTTCGACGTTGGTTAAGACGTACAAAAAACTGAGAATTGATACTACTACGGTAATTTAGGGGACAACAATTTAGTTTGATAGAAAGTTGGTCGTAAGAGCAATGTCTGATTTGACATGATACACATACGCAGGTGAGAAAAGGTTGGCGTTGGAAGAATTTCTTTTTTTTTTTTTTTTAGTTCTTTTAATTTAACAAGGATAGCGATAAGTAAAAAGAGACCGTTAGAACTCAACGACGAGTACTGTTCCATGGTTAATTAGAGTCATTTCGTTCTTCTCTCTCTCTCTCTCTCTCT